GTTCATGAGGGAGAGGGGAGCAGGGAGGGAGGGTGAAAACTTAGGAGCTGATATCAAGGGCTCAAGTAGAAAGAAAACGTTTTGAGAATGATGGCAACAAATGTACAAATGTGCTTTACACAATGTATGTATGTATGGATTGTGGTAAGAATTGTACAAACCCCCAGTAAAATGATTTAAAAAAAAACAGTGACTCTTTCTCTCAAGGTATTTGGTTATGTCTAAGAAGTTTACAAAACTTTGCCATTGTATAATCTACCACATTCATGGATCTAGTTGGAGCAAAGGTAAACACACATATACAAATATTCTCTGTCAAATCTATAGATTTTGTGGATATACTCCCACTCAGTCTTTCAAATCTGGTCAGTCTATGTGTCTCTCTAAATATGTGCTTGTAGATCACCAGTATTTCAGGAACATGTACATAACAGTATTTGTTTCTGATGTCTTTAGTACGTGCAAACATCCCAGTGTCTTGCTTTATTTCTATCATTTTGTTCTCTTCCTCTTCACCTAAATTACCACTTATTTACCCTCTAGCCCAGTGGTTCTCCACCTTCCTAATGCCGTGACCCTTTAATACAGTTCCTCATGTTGTGGTGACCCCCCAACCATAAAATTAGTTTCATTGCTACTTCATAACTGTAATTTTGCTACTGTTATGAATCGCACGACCTCTGTGAAAGGATTATTCAACCCCCAAAGGGGTCGTGACCCACAGGTTGAGAATTGCTGCTCTAGCCAGTGCCTTCCCCTCCCTCCTTTAACCATCCATCCCTGGTACCTATCAAAGAATGTTTATTTTAGTGTAAGAAGTTTTCTTTTATGTAATAGTGGTCTCATACAATATTTGTCCTTTTGTGTTTGACTAATTTCTCTCAGCATAATGACCTTCATGTTCATTCACATTATGAGGTATGTTACAGATTTACTGTTATTCTTTTAATGTTGTGTAGTATTCCATTGTGTGTATGTACCAAAGTTCATTTATCTATTTTTCCAGTGATGAGCATTTGTGTTCATCTTTTTGCTATTGTAACTAATGCTGTGGTAAACATGACTGTCCATATATCTACCTGTACGTCACAATTCTTAAAGTTCTCTAGAAGACATACCAAGTATAGGGGATACTGGGTCACATGATATTTCTATATCTAACTTTTGGGGAAAGTGTCATACTTCTCTCCTAATGGCTGCACTATTTTAAAGTTCTACTAGCAGTGTATGGGGGTCCCAGTCTCTCTGCACATGCACCAGCATTTGTTGTATGTGCTTTTGGTAAACTTTGCTATTAATGCTCGGGAAAGTGATTATCTCATTGTTGTTTTGATTTGCATCTTTTGAATGGCTACTGAAAGCAAGTATTTCTTCATATGTTTGTTGAGCACCTGAATGTCTTGGGGGAAGTGTCTGCTTGGGTCCTCTGTCCATTGCTTTTCTTTTTTTAATCCAATTTTTAAAATTAAATAATGTATTTATTGACATAGCTTACTCATGCCAATATATCTCTTTCCTTCCTACAAAGTTCTGTTATTCACTCCCATCGGGTGGGTTTATACAATCATCAATGCTATCAACTCCCCTCTCCCCCGCTTTCTTACACCCCTCTCACTTCCTGTACCCTCAGGGAACCCTTACTCCTGTCAGTGTCTCTGAGGGGTAATCTATCTTGACAACCATGTATCGAGGGATCTTGAATGTACAAATGAACACATGAAAATCTAACATGATTAATGAGGAGTATAGTATAAGGGCCTCAGTAGTATGGGGAGGAAATCTTAAAGCGCTAGAGGATAATTGTGTGGTTCATCAGTGTCATACTGCACCCAGAATTTATTCTCCATTCATTGAGGCCTTTCTAAGAGGGACTGCCCAATTGTCTTGGCTGGTGGACTTGGGTCTCTACTACATCCACTCCCCTTCATGTCTATCACACTTTTTCCCGTTGACATTTCATGATCTCACAGGCTGGCATGCTTCTTTTACTTTTGGCATGCTTCTGTCTTGTAAGCATTGTTGCTTCCCTGCTAGATCTCTTCCCATTTCTTAATTAGATTGTTTTCAAATTTATTTTTAATTTAAAAATTATGTTTAATACAATCTTTATTTCTTTTCAATGAAGAATTTATTATTTCCATTTCCCCTGAGAACAGTTTTTATTTTGTTTTTTATTTAACCATGTTATTGACATATACTTCATGAATGATACAATTCAGTGATTTAAATATATTTAAGAGTAGTGCAATCATCATGTCTTCCTTGTTGAGATGTTGAAGCTCCAAATTCATTGCCAATTTCTCACGTCTGTGGGTTCTCTTCTTACTCTTTTATTGAAAAAAATGTATGCACATAAGTGTCTAATTCTTAGGAGGATCTAGTCATCTAGTCTGTCTTCTGCTGTTTGTTTCATAGTATGTTGATAGCATATTATTTCTTTTATTGGAGCCCCTAAGTTTATCCCTAATTGTTCATTGATGATATTTATAGTTCTATAGTTTACATTTAGGTTTTTGATTAATCTTAGTTCATTTTTGTAGCTGGTTTGAAATATGGACCCCATTTCACTCTTCTGCAAATTGAAATCCAGTTTAGCCAGCACCATTTGTAAAGAGACTCGCTTTTCCTCATTTAATGCGTTTCAGCCCCTGTTAAAGATCAGCTGTCTGTCGGTGATGTGGATGAATTTACCTCTGGGTTTTCAATGGTTCGTTGGTTTCTGTCTCTCACTAGAGCCATCCCACCACGTGGTTTCGATTACCATGGCACTATCGCAGATTTTGGGATCAGGAGGTGAGGCCTATTTTATTCTTTTTCTTCAGTGGTTTGGTTCTTTGCTTATTTTGGATCTCTTTTCTGTATAAAGTTGGTGATGTCTTTTCATCTCTTTAAAGAATGATGATGGTCTCTGGATCAGAATTACTCTTTATTTGTAGATTGCAATAGTATTGTCATGCTTACAATATAAGTCTTTCGATCCATGAGCATGTATAGTATTCCATTTATGTAGGTCTCTTTTGGTTTCTTGTACTGTTTTTAAATTTTATTTGTACAGGTCTTTTGTTGATCTGGTTAAATTTATTCCTAAATCTTTTGAGTGGTTATTGAGAATGGTATTACTTTCCTGGTTTTCTTTTCAGAGCTCTCTTTGTTATTGTAAAGAAATCTAACTGATTTTTGTATGTTGATCTTGTACCCTGACACTTTATTATATCTTTTTATTAGTTCCAACATTCTTCTTGCAAAGTCTTTGGGATTTTCCATGTATAGGGCAATATCAGCAAATACTTTTATTTCTTCTTTGCCAATATTGGGTGCTTTTAATTTCTCTTTTTAGCCTGATAACTCTGGCAAAGACTTCCAGCACAATATGGAATTAAAGGGGTGATAAAAGGCATCATGATCTGGTTCCCATTTGCATGGGGGAATGCTTTCAGTTTCTTTCTGTTGGAAGTTAATTTTCTATATATGTCCTTTATTATGTTGAGGATTTTCCCTTCTTTTCCTATTTTTTTAAATGCATATTGTGAATAGGTGTTGGATTTTGTTAAATGTCCTTTTCATGTTAACTGATATAATCATGTGGTTTTATTTATGGGATAGATTATACTGATTTTTTTATGTTGACCCATCCTTTCATACTTGATGTGAATCTCAACTGATCATGCAGTACTATTATTATTATTATTATTATTTTATTATATAATGTTAGGATTTTGGAGAAATCTTACATCTATGTTCATATGGAGTATTGATATGATTTTCTTTTTTAGTGACGTCTGTGCCTTGTTTTGGTATCAGAGTTATGCATGCTTCATAAAATAAATTCTGGAGTTTTCCATCTTTTCAATACTCTGGAAAAGTATTGAAAGTTTAAGTAGAATTGGTGTCAGTTCTTCTGGGCACAGATCTTTTTTTGTGGAGAGTTTTTAAAAAAAATCATTTTATTGGGGGCTCGTACAACTCTTACCCCAATCCATACATCCATCCATGTGTCAAGCACATTTGTA